TATTTATTAGCCTGGTACCGGTCAGAGTCGGAATCCGAATCAAGACTTTCCAAATTAATGAACCTATTGTTTGAAGTGAAAGTCATAAGCGACCTGGGCAAAATGGATATTAAATCTTATACACAAAGTTATGGACCTCTATTTAATGAAATTTCAATATAAATGACTTATTTCAAGCATCCAATATAATAAACTATCCAGTACCTAAAAATGTAGTTAAAATAACTGATCTTAGTACGTTAGTTGGAATCACAACACCTGGTGGTGAAGGTCGTGTCCAGAATACCCATGGTCAATGGACCCCATATTAAAGAAATTAAGTATTTACTGTAATATCTTATTAATTAAATATTTTGTGATAGTTTTTTTAATAATTTTAAATTGTATGACACAAGTAAATGAACAATATTATATAAAATAAGTGTGTGCATAAATGTTGTTTAAATTTAAATACCTGTTTCTAATATCATTTTCTAATAAAATTTATATTTGATATAATTTTTATTTTAAAATTTCCCAATTAATAGGAATTTAAAATTCTTTTTTAATAAATATACTATTTTATGAATCCAGTTAAAATACTACAATTACTTTTTAAATAATAGATTTATTGTAACAGTTGCGATCAATACTTTTATCATTAATTGTATAGATTTTACTGCACTTGAATCAAATTAATATACTAGTTATTGCATAATAACTTTTTAAATAATTGATTTAATTGGTGTTAGATTAGTTGTAAGCATGAAACCAATTAATAAATAATTCATTTGTGAAATGTGTTATAAAGGAAATTTTTACACATTTTAATTGAAAGTTGGTATTTAGTTTAGCAAGCATTAATGAAATGGATTAATTTGAATTTAGATTTCATATGAGCTTAAGTTTTAAAATTTATATAAATATATTTTAAAACTTAAATACAATGAATATGGACCTTGGCGATAAGCTGTGTAAGATTTGCGGTGGAACCAAGTTAGTTAGTAAGTATAATTCTATTAAACCTTGCTAACATTAATAAATGCTTTAATTTATTTTTATAATTATAAATTTAATTTATATTAAGGCAGGTACTTTGGTGCCATTACTTGCGATTCGTGTAAATCATTTTTCCGGCGAATGGCCCTTAAAAATATTGTAAATACTAAACATATTGTTTGAAACAATTGTAAATTAAACATGGTATATTGTTTGTCAATAGCAAGTAATATGTATAAATGATGGTAACTGTAATTTAACAGCAAATCCTAGAAAACTGTGTCAAAAATGTCGACTAGAAAAGTGTTTATCCGTGGGAATGAGAAAGGTCAGTTTGTAATCTTGTCTTTATAATAAAAATAGTAAACATTTATTATATAATAGGAACTCATAAGAGATGTGAAGGAAAACAAAATGAGAAGACAATTGATTAGAGAAAACAAATTAAAACAACAAAATTGTATTCATTATTCAAATACGAGTCCAGAATCTAATGATTTGTCGGAAACCAGTGATGAAAACAGTACTTCCAGTGAATGTCCATCACATCAATCCTTAGATGATATTATTTACAATAACTTTCAAAATGTTTTAACAGACAATGAATTATCACTGGTAACCACAAACGCTTATGACTTGAATCTGTCGGTCATACCTGTTATGAAACCCATCACTGATTATAACAATCAGTTCAATGAATTAGAGGGCAATCGGTTGAGTGAACTCTTGGACGCCCTGAAGATTATGATGAGTCCTGTGGTTAACGTTAATGATAATGAAATAAACGCTTTTTCTGTCGATGCCTTCAATTTGATACTTCCTTATCAGGAAAATGGTCTCCAAAATACTGTCAAAATGGCTAAACGTTTGAACGCATTTAAATCGCTGTGTGATCATGATCAATTGACTTTAATTAAATACGCGTCCATTGAAATCGTTGTCTTGCGAATGATATTGTATTTTGACTTTAATGAATTATGCTGGTCATTTAACATAGTATGCATTTGTTGTTGAACATATTTTGTGTTTTACATTTATTAATATTTGTATATAATTGATTTATTACCAGAATAATCACAATCATATGATAAAATTCAATGTACTTCGGGATACAAAATATTGCCTGTCCAAAATAAAGCCTCATAATGTTAATCACAAAACAGTCCTGGAATGGATGGGACTTGAATGGGACTCTGATGTGATTATAATTGACCTGGTATTATCATTTAAAAATTTAACAATTTCTAAAAATATAATTTTATTGTATATTTATAGTTAAGTGCTATTATACTGTTTAATTCGAACCGACCTAACCTCATTAACAAAACTGCCATAAAGTAAGTTATTTTATTTATAAATTATTATCATATAATTTATTATTGATTCAAATATAGATTACAGCATTATATTTATGTTCATTTACTTCAACGGTATCTACAATTGAAATATAGATCGGATGAAGTATCCAGGTGTAAACTTGTAAATTTAATCAAGAAATTAAACCTTTTGCACTGTTTGAGTGAGAAATTGAAAGAGGTTTTTAGGAAAACTGACTTAAGATTTGTTCCGCTTTTAAAAGAGTTATGTAATCGCGACTAAAAAGTTTGTATTTGAGTTGTTAATGGCTGTTAAGAATCATTGAAATATTATTTTTATAAAATACAATAGTTTACAATTAATTAATTGTCTTTTTATTTATTGTATTATAACTTATTTATAACTTTATATAGTTTTTATATCAACTAAACAAACTAATAAAAGCATTTAGAAATTATTGTATTTAATGTTATTTAACCATAATTACACAATTAATACAAATACTTAAAATATAAGGTATACTATTATAATAATAGTATTATTAATAATTTTCTAATGTCACTAGTATCCAAGGTTATTTAGGTATGTACAGTGTGTTTCACCATGAGGTACCAAGTTTGCGTGTTTATATTTCAAATACTAAATGAGATATCAAAATAATCTAAACGTGGTTTAATACATAAAAGTAGGGCATTTTATATTCTACCATGATCAATTTTTTGTTTCATTTATTAATATTATTTTTATGGACACTCTTGTAGAGTAGAGTTTCATGCTGAGCAAAAGGAGATAGGTAAAAACTTAACATAGCAATTCTGAAGAGGAAAGTATGAACTTTCATATGTGGTATAGCATGCTAAAATTGATCTTGTCGTTCTCTCACAAATCGCCTTTAAATATAAGGAATTTTTATTGATGTCAATGGAAAATTCAATGGTAAAATATTCAAACATAAATTTCTATTTATATGTAGCAGCTAGCTAAGCATTATAAATTGCAAAAATGAAGAGGGTGATATAAGCTTTAAAATGGTGTATAGATCATTAATGTGTGAAATATATTTGTCGATCAATACTAATATAACGTAAAATCGTATATCTTTCTATGTTTTGAATATAAATATATTGTAAAGTTAAAAATTTATAAAATATTCTGTATATCGAGAAATAAATTTCATACATTAATGATCTATACACCATTTTAAACGATTTTTCATTACTCAAATACTAACACAGAATCTAATGAACAGAATATGCAAATCGAAAGTTATGTTAAAAATAGTGATAATAACAATAATTTGATACAAGACTCGTTTCCATTGGCTATCATTCCTATGTTTAAAGAGATTTCTGATTCCCATGGATTGAATCAATCACATTGTGATCGTATATTGGAACTATTTAAAGCATCTAGCATATTAATAATTAATCATCCGCTTTCTACAAATGTCGTAGAAATAAGTGATAGAAATACCGTATTTTCTTTAAATGACTTAAATGCAACTGAAGGTGAACAACATGTCAGAGATATGGTCAAGCTAATAAAAGGGTTGAATGGATTTCAAAATATTTGCCAACATGATCAGTTATTATTAGTACAGCATGGTTGTCTTGATTTAATTATATTACGATTTCTGAAATATTTTAATCAAGATACTGAAAGTTATATATTCCCAGTGGTATGATCTCTCTCTCTCTCTCTCTCTCTCTCTCTCTCTCTCTCTGCACATACACTAATTCAATAATTTTGAGTTAATTTTAAATTTATTTTAATTAATAGGGTACTGACATGTCTCTTAGCATGCCATTAANTCTCTTAGCGTGCCATTAAAAGTAAGAATACAAAAAAGTGAGCAAGCATATTGCTACGTAAAGCAATTCTTAAACAGATTTCTATGCGAATGGCAACGTGATAATATTATTATGGAATTGGTAACTATTTATAAATTATTATTCACCTTTATCAATACTAATTATAAAGTTTTTAAATTAATAGTTAACTGCAATCATGTTATTTAATCCAAATGTACCCAACCTAACCCATAAGAATAACATTATGTATGTAACTAATTATTGTTTATGTATTGTGTAATATTAAATATACTATAAGTAATTTATATAATATTATTTACAGACTTGAACAGAAAATTTACATATATCTATTGCAGCGATATTTATTAGCCTGGTACCGGTCAGAGTCGGAATCCGAATCAAGACTTTCCAAATTAATGAACCTATTGTTTGAAGTGAAAGTCATAAGCGACCTAGGCAAAATGGATATTCAATCTTATACACAAAGTTATGGACCTCTATTTAATGAAATTTCAATATAAATGACTTATTTCATGCATCCAATATAATAAACTATCCAGTACATAAAAATGTAGTTAAAATAACTGATTTTAGTAAGTTGGTTGGTATCACAGCACCTGGTGTTGAGGGTCATGTCCAGAATACCCAAGGTCTATGGACCCCTTATTGAAGAAATTAAGTAATTACTGTAATATCTTATTAATTAAATATTTTGTGATAGTTTTTTAAATAATTTTAAATTGTATGACACAAGTAAATGAAAAATATTATATTAAATAAGTCTGTGAATAAATGTTGTTTAAATTTAAATACCTGTTTCTAATATCATTTTCTAATAACATTTATATTTGATATAATTTTTATTTTAAAATTTCACAATTAATAGGACTTTAAAATTCTTTTTTAATAAAATATATTATTTTATGAATCCACTTAAAATACTAGTAATTTCACAATTACTTTTTAAATAATAGATTTATTGTAACAGTTGCGATCAATACTTTTATAATTAATCGTGTAGGTTTTACTGTACTTGAATCAAATTAATATACTAGTTATTACATAACTTTTTAAATAATTGATTTAATTGGTGTTAGATTAGTTGTAAGCATGAAAACAATTAATAAATAATTCATTTGTAAAATGTGTTATAAAAGAAAATTATTACTTATTTTAATTGAAAGGTGGTATTTAGTTTAGCAAGCATTAATGAAATGGATTAGTTTGAATTTAGATTTCAAATGAGCTTAAGTTTTAAAAATTATATAAATATTATTTAAAACTTAAATACAATGAATATGGATCTTGGTGATAAGCTGTGTAAGATTTGCGGTGGAACCAAGTTAGTTGGTAAGTATAATTCTATTAAACCATGCTATGTTTATTAAATATATTAATTTATTTTATTTATAATTATAAATTTAATTTATATTAAGGC